CTGCCCGTGCCGGACCCCCGCGGCCGGTCTCAGCCACAGCTCATCACAGCAGTTATAAACTGGAGGCAGGCCTGGAGCTGAGCTGGAACCGGAAGGTTGAACTCCAAAAGCTTGGTCTGAACGAAGACTTGAGTTGGGGGTGGCTGTGCCCCCTGCCAAAGCAGCCCGTTCCCCACGTGCCCTGGTGCCTGTCTGACCACCGCGGGGACTCGGGATGCTCTTTCGTGGTGCGTGTTAAGGTTGGCTTTGCCCAACACGCTCACAGTGTCCTTTCTGGAGCTTCTCCCATCTCTGAGGTTTCAGGAGATCACCCTAATTTCAGGTTTCGTAACCTGAACGTGTCTGCACACCCATAGTGTGATCTGCCCTTGCAGGCAGCGGGACGGGGGGACGGGTCCCCCCAGCTCTGCCTGTTCCCTGGGCACTCACGGTCTCTCCGTGTCCTGGGCTCCAGCCCGTGAAGTAACGCAAGCTAACGTACTTCCTTGGACTTAACAGACTCTATGTAGTCTCTTTGGGGCGAGGGGTTTTACTGGGACCATTTCATACCGGAGCTTTCCGCCTTAAGCTCTGCTCTGACTCCAGCGGTGTGGTGAGGGTCAGGGTATTTTGGACTGAGCCAACTGAAGGTGAGATACGGGCATGACTATATCGGCAAAAATGAGTTTTTTCTGTTAAAACTTGTTTTTCCTTGTTGAGTGCCAATGCAACTTTACCGAGCTATGACACGGTCACGTTTTGCCCCCAGGCTGGTGCGGTCGGTAGGCACCTACCCACAGACGAGGTTTGACCTGGGCATTTATATAGCACCGACCTCGAGGGCACGTGAACGTTGTTTGGACCTGCAGGCCAGGGCTGCCTTTACCGACTAATGGTAACAGCTACTTTATGAGAGGCTTTGCAGTCACTTGGTGCAATGTTCTTTACAAGTGTCAGATGCTGCCGTCACCCAGCGTCGTGCAATGCAGGTGGCTCCTCTGTACAATCACCTCCTCACCCTTAACTTCATCCTAAGGCTTTGCTGTTCTTTTAATCTTTAACGTGAAGCCTTCATCCATTTTAGCTGCTGATGGTTTAATCACATCTGACCTTTTACGTTAAGCGTTTGCCAAGTGATGTGACATTTTCTGCCTTTCTTATCTTGACCAGTAAGAGTCGGGAATGAGCAAGCTGCGCTGGTACGTATGGCTGGAAGTGTCTGTGAAGGAACAGGGTATGGAATGGGAAGTCTTTGGGGGAAAAAGTGAGCAAAGAGGGAAGGGCTTAGGTTGTAGAGGTCATGTTTGAGTGGTGTTTTTACAGGAACTTATATCATCCTGACTTAAGTAAGCCCACCACAGTGGCACTGCGGCAGGGAAGTGGTGTCTGCCCAGGCGTTGATTTCCAACAGGTAGCACCTGTAATACAAAGCAATATATTGAGGACGAAAAGAAAGCTCAGAAATGAAGCCTTCACGGAGAGCTTATGATGCTGGTCATCTGCGGGCATGGTACGAGTGCTGCTTTGGCTTTCTTGGAGCAGGACTGCATGTTTCAGCAGAAGGAGGGGTTAGTGGGACAGAAGCGGGAGCAGCTCAGAGGAACACAAGTGATGACCTTGCCTTTGAGCCCCCTGCGTGGCC